GGGGTCGTCTTATACGCCGGGTATAAGGATAAGGAGGATAGAGGTACTGAACCTTTATATTTTGACTGGAAAAATGGGGGGTCGTCTTATACGCCGGGTCGTCTTATACGCCGGAAAATACAGTGAGTCCGCTGAAATATTGTACCTAGTCTTGCAGTGGGCCCTTGGTATTCGCTGGGGTTTGGTTCCAGGATGCACAAGTGCCATTAAATACAATGATGTAGTAAAATAGTACCCCTTATATAAAATATAAAATGTTATTTATGTATGTGATATGTCTATGTTATGTATGAACAATCTGATTGAATGTATATATTTTTATACTCTTTTTAAAACTCAATTAAAAATTATTTTTAAAAAAGTAGCAAAATCAAGGTTTGCTATCTTTTTGGAATATTTTCATGTCATGGATGTTTGAATCCATGGGAAAAAATCCATGGATGGGCCAACTCTACTTAAGTCTACATGCTACACAATTTTTAGAAATTAAATTGGATAAGTAAATAAAACAACACCTTGTTTAAAATATTTTATTCATAACCATTTCCCCCATTTTTCCAAGTAAAAAGTGGTGGTGTTTTCCCTTGATTTTTCAATTTTTCTTCTGGCCTTCACGTCTCTAGTCTCAGTGCTGAAACTAAAATGAAGCCAATCAATAATATTTAATCCTGGAGATTCAATGGTTAAAGATTCAGCATTTAACTCACAGCACTCACTAGACTTTGCCAGGCCCAGATGTGTTGAAGCTATCTGTCTAGAAAGGGCCTTAACAGGATCTGTTAAGTGTAACAGATTGTCACAAGTCATGGAGGAGAATTAATGGTTTTATGGCGCCTCAGGGAAAGACACCTTGCCCTTATGCTAGGAGATAGATTATGCACACTAAAGCCCCTGGTGCATTGAAGTCCCTAATATACATCTGTGTGAAGGAATGGCACACTTCTCAGAAACCGCCAGTGAATGTCACCAGTGGCATCACTAGGGCTGGCATCACCTGGTGCAGCCATGCATGGTGTCTTACCACCACCCCATTAACCTTCTCTCATACCACACCATACAAAATCCTTAACTCATTTTTTTTTTTGGTACTAATGTGTTACTCATAAATCTTAATTTCCGCAGATCACTACATGCAATGGTAATAGCTGTGAAATAAACAACCAGCAAAATTAAAATTATACCTTTAAATTACAATATCATCACATCCACAGCCTAAATGCATTTACATATACATAATTTCATGAGGTTAAAGCAAAAATTTGGTAAGGTGTGATGGTTCTAAGGAACATTTTAAAAGAATATTTTTAAATGTAAAATTTAAAAGAATTTAAATTTTGTAAATTAAAAAAAAAACTGGGGGTGTCTCCTCCCTTGCCTAATAAAACCCAATGAAATTCATAGGATTACTATAAGTCAACATCCGACTTGAAGGCACATACCAGTACACGTACACACACAACTTATACACCAAACTTTTCAGACCCATTGCCCTCCAGATATGGCTAGTGGCCATGTTAGCTGGGGGTTATGGGAATTTTAGTCCCACTAAGCTGGAGAAGATTGCTTACATATATACTAATAACTCACACTACCAGCTTCAAACCCAAGGCTGGGTCTGATGGAACTGCTTCTAGCAGACCACAGACTTTCCCAACCTTAGTTAACATGTTGAATTAAAAACCCCATCACCCCATCCATTATGGTCAATGTTCACAAATGGAGGGAACTGTAGTCCAATTTCATCTGAGGACCCGTGTCTAAGAAAGGCTGAGACAGGATGACTTACCACAGACATAAGACTTTGCAAGCCTTCTGTTGAACAGCCCAATAGAGACCATGAGAGGAAGTGAGGCTAACTTACTAGGGCAGATGGTTTAAGCTTCCACTTTTTAGCACCATGCAGGGTTTTTGGGGAGGGGAAGTTGGTGCATATCCCAACTCTTTCTACCATCAGGCACTGTTTTATGTTATTTATTTATTTTAAATTACAGTCCCATCTTGCATTTCCTGCAAGCAGCTACAAGTAACAATTATGTGATTCTGTTGTTTTATTCCCACAACAACCTTGTAAGGTCGATTACGTTGAAGGAAAGTGAACACTTCCCAAGATCCCCATATGGGTTTTTTGTAGCTAGATTTGAAGATTTGAAGCCATCTCTCCCTGATCTAAGGTTCATGCCTTATTCTGTGTATTTAATTTGTTGTAGTAATTCTTGTGTACCTTCAAGTCATTTCTGACTTACAGCAACCCTAAAGCGAACCAACCTATCACAGACAAATCTGCTCATCTTTTTCAGCATGTATTCTCATTTTGCTAATAATGGGAAAAGCAAAGAAACAGAAAATCTAAAAATCTTATTCAGCCACCTCTCTGGCTCTAAGATTTCAATACAGAATGTCTCTTTGGATACTTTAAAAACATAGCTTCACAGTCACAACAAACAGAAATGCAAAACTCAGCAAACTGAATTCTGTGACAACTACCACATTGTGTGTTCCTACCAAATCATAGCATTTACCCCAAGCTCCGCATGTTGTATTTGCACACCAGAACCAGAGCAGTTCCAGCATAAAGTGCATAGCCAGACATCTCCTGACATTAACCATTCTGCCCCTGTCTTAAGAGAAGTGGCTCCTTTAACTCTTCTTAGGAACTGAAGCACTGAGATTAAGCACCAAACAATATTAGCACACAGGAAATACTACAGGCTGAGGGGAGAAGTAAATTCTATATGGTTAGGATATCTCTTTGGAGGACACAGGGGGGACTTCTCACAACTGAGATCAGCAAAAGTAATGTAGTGATACATAAACAGCAACAGTAATAATATGCAACTATCCTAAATCAGTAGTTCATAGCATTTGGTTTTGCACATCTCCCAAAATCTCTGACCACTGGCCAGAGATTTGGCTGAAGTCCAAAACGTGTGCAAAACTAATGGTTGAGAACTAATGTCCTAAATAAAGAGATAGCAACAGCACTGTTCAAGAGCCAAGGTAGCCTAAAGCGTTGGACTGTGACTCTGGAAGCCAGGGTTCGATTCCCAGCTCAGCCATCAAACCCACTGGGTAACCTTGGGCAAGTCATATCCTCTCAGCTTCAGGGGAAGGCAATGACAAACCTCCTACCAACCTTGCCAAGAAAATCCCATGATAGATTCCCCATGATAGGTCACCATAAGTCAGAAATGACTTGAAGGCACACAGCAGCAATAGCACTCTTGCAGATGTTCAAACAACCTCAGAGGCATTCTGTCAGTAAAACTTTGCAAGCAGCTAGCACAACAGATGTTTTGAACTATTACTCTCATCAGCCAAGACAGCACAGATAGTAGATGGTGGTTACAGAACTTGTACTGGAACATCAGGAGGACACTGGGTTGTCTACCCCCTGCTGTATAACAAGCCAATGTTACGTTCCTCATGTTGTAAATGGACAGACCTCTGGCACAAGACTTTATACTTTCAGCCTGTAAATTATAGCTAGGCTACATTAGATTGTGAATATGGGCATAAACTGTGATAAGGAGGAAAAGATGGCAAGTCTATAGGGAGCACTAACCTTGTTCCTATTTCACTTCTGTTGCCACAATGAACACATCAGACAAACCCGCACGAAGAGAACGACAGCTGATATACTTCCTCAAAGGCATCCTTTTAATTTAAGCAACAGAATGGGATGAGCAAAAGTTCATAATGGAAGCGATCCAGCTAGCCCTAAACTGCCATCCTTTTTGCCTTGTAAAACAGAGATTCTCAGACTGTTGTGGCTAGCAGTTCTTATTAGCAATAAAAAAAAGGAAAGAAAATGGTTCAACACTCCTACGCAAGGATGTCCAACTTACATATTCTCAGGACAGAAGCCTCAGCTCTCCACACAATGCAGAAGTGTATTTACCTCCACAATGCACTAATCCCTGCATGGTTAGTCAGCTTTTAATTCAGTGTTAGCAAGCAGCAGGGGCTTCACAACTCTGGATTCTATGTTTTGGGAGTATATCCAAGACATTACAAACAAGAGCCAATGAAATGTAGCATTACGGCATCTGTTTCTCCAGACTTCTCAGAAGAGATCTCCAGTGTTTCTGTTTCTTTAAAAACATTTTATTGTGCTGTTGATTCTGCACAATTCTAGCCTGTATCCATAGA